TGCGCTTTTGTTTTTGAACGTGTCACTTTCAATCCCAGCCAATGCGGCACATGTGTTTCTGGTTAAGCATAAGGGACCCCAGGCCAGCCCAGATGTGGAACGCTTGACTTCAGGTGTCGTTCCCTCAGGCCGGCAGAGAGGGGGGCTGCATGCACCCTGCCTTCCTGGTCGGGGTGCTGCAGAGACCAGGGGCCACCCCCAGCCTGGGTTTATCTTTTCCCTTGCTCTTCCCTAGTCCCCAAATCGTAGGGAACAAGGAGGCTGACCCAGAGCTGATTCCTGGTGATTAATATTCTCATTGGGGTGTTTTGGGTTTTTTTCAATAAATATTTTCCCATGCGGGAAAGGAAATGCAAACCTACCCTATTAATCAGCCGCTTGGCTTGTTGTATTTGATAGAAAACTCCAGCCTCTTGTTTTAAAATCCTTTGGTTTGGAAAGCAGTGACTGAACGCAATGCCGGGCCTGAGAGAACCTATGCCAAAATCGCATTTCTCTAAACGGGCAGGGCCAGGAGACTCTGTCTCTAATTCTTGGCCAGGGATTTGCTTTCTCTCTCTGCTGAAGGCTGGCACAGACTGCCCAGAGATTGGATGGCCCTGGGACTGAGAGAGGAAACATCTCAGTGCCGCCGCCGGGCCACCAGGATCACCAGACCCTGGGGGGACTGATGCCCAGAGTGGAGGGACATCTGTCTAGGGCACCCTCTAGATTGCCAACAGAACCCAGGTTTTTCCTGATTAACCAGAGAGGAGGTGGGGTACATTCTTTCCCCAACTTGACACCATTCCTCTCTGTGTGGGCCAGAGAGCAAGGACAAAGAAGCCTGATCGTGACCCAGCCCAGATGGACCTCGGAAGCATGCTGGGAGAAATAAGTGTCACAGAAGGACCAACGTGTGAGCTTGGAACATCCACAGTAGGAGACTGTCTGGGGCCCACATGTCCACGTGGTTACCAGGGCCGTGAAGTGGCCAGGGGCGCAGCAGGGGGCAGACATTCTTTGGGGGACACCAAGCTTCCATTAAGGGCGTGTGAAGCTCCACAAGGTAATGCTGGTGCTGGTTGCCCAGAATGAAGAACGTAGCGAACACCACTCAATTGTACACATGAAATACATTGAAATGGCAGATGGTTTAGAAACACACACAGACCTCACGGCATCATGCTAACCTCAAGGTTAGCAGTTCCAAACCACCGACCGCTCACCAGGAGAAAGGCAGGGTATTCCACTCTGTAAAGGGGGGCAGTTCTGTCCTGTTCTAGAAGATTATTATGTATCAACATCGACTCTATGGCAGTGAGTGTACACACACACACATACACACGGAGGCTTCAAACACTTAGAGAAAAATGGAATGAAAAGGGAATAGAGTTTTCCATGAACTTTTTGAAATATATATGTATATATATAGACATAGACATGCATATATTTGTTGTGATTTGTGATACATAAATCAAAAAAATTTAAATGTTAATATAAAAAAATTTAGACAATCTGGGCCCTGAAGATATCCCCAAGGGTCAAATTAAAATAAGTAAAGGTTTGCATATCATTTGCATACATAGATTCATGCATTCAACCAACCATTAAGCCCCTATCGTGTATAATGCATAGAGTTGTCATTTACATATGCAGGCTATCTTCCTAAGTGATATTCCAGCAAAGATCTCAGAAACAGGGCTGCCCCGAAAACAGGCACCTCCTCCATTTCTATCCTCTCTTCCCAGTGCAATAACCCAGGTGGTGTATGTGTGGTGTGTGTGCATTGGTGCAGCCTCGGGAAAGCCTGGGAAATGGGAGTCTCTGCTTTTAGGGAGGTCATAGTCCAGAGGGGACGGTGTCGTCCTAATGGACAACCATAGAGGCCGGGCAGTGTTGGCACAGACAGGGCAGTGTGTCCTGAGATTGTGGTGGTCTGGGAGAGACCTGATCTCCAGGCGTGGTTCCATTTTTATCCGGGCACACAAATCCCCAGCTGGTTGAGAACTCACGGATGATCTCGGGAAGATGAGAAGCCCTTCCTGGCTCCGGCTGCCCCGGGTTTATCAGAGGAGTGCTGCTCTTCATGGTGCCTAAGAAGGAGCTCACCAGGGGGGACAGGCTCAAGCCAGAGTGGGGAGAAGCCAAGAGCCACGCAGGCAGCATAAGGAGAAGCAGCATGAAGAGTGTGGGCTCTGGAGCTGCCGGGAGTCTCTCAAGTCCTAGTTCCCATCTATCTCATAGCTGTGTGACCTACTGCAAGCTGCTTCGTCGCTCTGTCCTTCGGTTTCCTCCTCTGTAAAACGGCACAATTACCGTATCACCTGAGGACGAAATGAAATGAATTAGTACGTCAGAAAGCACTCCGCAGTCATATAACCTGCTTTATTCGTGTTAATGCTCCTGGCAGCAATTATAGTTTTACGGCTGTGTGTGACACATGCATAATCCCCAGGCCCAGCCCTGCACATGGTGCTTGGCATAGAGCCACACCTCAAAAAGCAACCTGACCACTCGCCCTGTCTCTCAGCTCTGCCTCACTTACGCGGTGTTGAAATCTCTCTAATATCCGTGCAGTATTTTTCTTATTTCAGTGGACAAACATGACCTCAGCTAAAACAGCAATCCCATGCCATAAGTATTATTGTCCTTGACTTTCTTACAGATAAGAAACTGAAATCCAGTCTTGCTAAGTCATTTGCCAAGGGCCGCAAAGTCCATAGGCGCCAGGGCCAGGACTCCACCCTTCCTCTCCAGGAGCCAAGTCTGCACCTGGTAATGTCGCCCCCTGGCTGCCGTTCTCCCTCCACTCGCTCCAAGTTTAGGGAAGGGCTCCAAGGCAGCTTTCAAAGCTCCTGGCAGCTAGAGAACCCAGTCGCTCTTCACTGCCCGTCCCCATGGAGTTGAAGGCCCCATGTGCGTAGTGCCTGATAGGGCTACGGTGATCAGAGTGGTGGGTGAGACCATGGCATAGTGGATTACCCATTGGGCCGCTAAATGCAAGATTGGCAGTTCAAAACCGCCAGCCTACTCCTCGAGGAAAAGATAAGGCTTTCTACTCCTGTGAAGAGTTGACGGGGTCTGAAACTCACAGGGGTGGTTCTATACCCTGTCGTATAGGGTCGCTCTAGGTGGACACGGTGCAGTGAGCTTGGTTTGGGACCAGAGTGGAGAGGACGGGCGCTGCCCTGAGGAAGTGAAGGCTTCTGTTGGTCCTTGGGCGCAAATACGACCTACATCCTGACAGCCACCCTGGGAGGTGGGAGAATCGAGGCTCAGCATTGAAATGACCGCAGCCAGACTCAGGAGGCAGAGCCCAGATTTAGATGCAGGGCCGTGGGGAGAACGCTAATACTAACTGAAAGGTGGGCGGTTCGAACCCACCTAGAGGAAGCTCTGAAGGCAGGCTTGCGATCTTCTTCCGAAAGGAAACCTGATGGAGCAGTCAACGCTGCACACGGGTCGAAATGACTCCCCAGCACACACAGCAGCAGCAGTGTTTTGGGAAAGACCTGCCTGCCCCTCCCTCCCTCCCTGATCAAAGAGACCCAAGTTGAGGTTCCAGCAGGTGACTCACCTGCTCATTCCCCCACCCCCTTCCATGACAGGCTGACCAGCACTCAGGGCAGGTGCAGAGCATGTGCAGGTGGTTCATCAATGCTCAGTCCTGCTCCCCACCTATGCCGAGCCTGGCCCAGCCCGCCAGCCAGCGTCTGCTCCCCAACCCCAGGTTCCTGACGATCTGGAACACCTGATGTGCCTACCAGCTCCAGCCTGACCCAGCCCAAGCTCGGGGCCCCAGCGGGGCCCCAGCAGCGACACCCCCGGGTGCTGCGGCCTGTGTTCTAGCCTCCTGCCTGGAGCACTCCCTCCTGCTCCCTGTGTTGAGTCTCGGTAATTGAATGTGTTTTATTTAGACCATAACATTTAGTGCCACTTTGGATTTCCAATTAGGTTTCAATCAGACGCCGAGAGTCTGATTCGTTTTGTTGTTTTGATCAACACAAAAGACGGCAACATCAGAGGAGCCGTCTCGAAAAGTTATTTCCATCGGCTGATGACTGGGACCGTTGCTACGATGTGGAGACGCAGGCGTCAGAGGTGCCAAGAGAAGCACCAGGCATTGGGGCCAGGGAGGGCGCAGGATGGAAAGGAGAGGCGGCTGAAGCCCTGGAAAGAGGCGGGATCCAGAGACCTGAGTTGCGCACTGTGCCACACACACACACACACACACACACACACACGGCTCCCAACAGGGAGGAAGTGGCAGGTTGTACACAGGCAGCTGGACACGGGGCCTACCCACGTTCACCCCGGTCTTGGGTGCTAAGGTAGGAAGAGGAGGGATTGGTTAGGGTCCGGTCTCTTTTCCTCTGGCTCCATCCGCAAGGAGCTCTATCATGGCCCTTTGGCGGGATGAGGCCTAGGGGCCCACAAGGTCCCATGAGGGAGCGAGGTGGGATGCCTACCTCTGGGCAGTCGCTCCAGGGCAAGTCCTTGGAACGCCCCAGCCAGGATGGACCCGCTGTGCTTGTATGCATAAGGAGTTGGGGAGTGGGGGCCTTGCTTTCCCTCTCGGCCTGTGCGTTCTGGCTACCAGCTCATCCATGCCAGCTGTCAGACAGGGTTTCTCTCTGGGGCCACTCAGCATCCGACTTTTATTGGGGAGGAAGCTCCGTGGCGGGAGGGCGGGGAGAAGATGGCCGAGGGATGACGGGAGAGTGGCCCTGGCATGGTGTAAGAAGAGTCCACCTTGGGTGTTTCATCGAGAGTTGCTTACGTGTGTGTCTTGAGGTACGGGCCAACCAGAGGCCCCATCATAACATGTGCTTGGGTGCTCCTTGCAGACCTGGCATTTGGCTCATCCTTTCTGGCCTTGAGTATGTGCCCAGTGGGTGTGGGCGGGCCAGTGCTGAGAAGGGCGTGGTGTGAGAGAGGAGTGAGGGGAGAGAAGTGTGCCCTCGTGTCCTGGGCTCAGAAGGTCTCTATACAGGGTGCCAGGCCTGGGTGAGCTCTGGGTGAGCTCTGTTTCCAGCCCCTGCTTGGTTGCATTTTCCCAGCTGGCCCTCTGATACTTCTGTAGCTCAGGAGTCCAACCTGCCCGCAGTCTCCAGGTCATTAGTTCTGGGCTGGACTGTAAATTCCCTGAGTCGTGGCCACTCTGCCACAAGTTGCCTCACACCTGCTACCTCCCGGCTGTCTGTAGTCCCCAAGACCTCTGCAAACAGGTTGGGGGTTGAAATTCCCACCAGGAGGAGGGAGGCCTGCTGTGCCATTAGTTCTTGGTAAACAGGCTGCACTCAGCCCCTACCCTTCAAATAATACTTAATGATGAGAAGAGGGAGGGAGGCAGAGAGGTGCGTGTCAGGCAGAAGGAAGATTGGACAAAGAAAAATGGACAGAGAAGAGAACAATGCCTTAGTCAGCCAGCCAGATGCCGAGTCATCCATCAAAGGCTTCCTGAGAACCTACAGGAGCTACTACAGGTGGGGTAGTGGGGTCTCCTGTTGGGCAACTAACCACAGGGTCAGTCGTTCGAAACCACCAACAGCTCCATAGGAGAAAGATGAGTCTCTGGAGTCCGGTAAACTGTTACAATCTCAGAGTTACCGTGAGTCAGAATTGACGATGGCAGTGAAGCCTTGGTACTGTCTCACAAGAAGCCCTGGTGGCCTAGGGTGTCTGAGTTAGAGTCGAGTTGATGGCAGGGGGTTGGTGTCTTTGTTCCTGGGCTCATAGCACGGAGGTAGTCCCCCCATGAATGGCAAATGCCTGTGAAAGACGGACACACGAACAGTATGTTGCCAGACACCATGCAGGCCTGGGAACTGCTGAGAGGGTGTCACCCAACAGAGAGGACCTGAGAAGGATTCCTGGAGGAGGCATGGCTCTAGACGAGTCATGGAGGGAGAAATGTTCTCCAAGTGGTGCCCAAGGCAGTGGGCCCTTGATCAAGTGAAGAAAGCATGAAGGCATGAGCGGAGCCTTCGGCATGCCCAGGCACTCATCCCAGAATGACACTGTTGGAGCAGAGGTAAGAGTGAACGCCTCGCCTTTGGGAAATGCCCAGAGCAGACGGAGGAGCTGTCTCAAGAAGTGGGCTCAAAGCACCAGCCCTTCCCAAGATGAAAGGACCCTCCCCCCAAACAGAAGCGACTTCAGACTCCCACAGCCTCTGCCACTGCAATAGCGGCCTTGGGAGGGGGCCAGCATGCACCCAGCTTCCACTGTCCTCTTTCCCCTGCACCAAGCAGGCACCCTGGCCGATCCCGTCGTCCAGCCAAGGTAGATGCCAGTGCGGGGGGCTGTTTCATGCCTCCATGCCATCACCTCAACCTTCTCCATCGGGGCTGCTTCTCCCTGCCCTCAAAATGTCAGTGTTTGGTGCTTTGTTGGTGCTCAATACACATCGACTGTGGGTTAGGGAGAGAGGGGGTGGAGTGTCGGGCAAAGGAATAACAGAAAAGAACATGGGGCAATGTGGGGTTGTAGAGCAGTTGTAGAGCGCTTCTCTGTGGAGGCATTGGACAGACTCGACTTGGCCACTCTCCGGTCTGGCCTGGCTTGTCTTCTCTAAGCCTCGGTTTTCTCTTCTGTAACATGGGGATGGTAGTAACACCTGCCTTTGGGGAGGACGGATGGGGAGATTCAATTACCCTTGGGAGTGCTTGCTCAGAGGCAGAGGCAAACGCAGGGAAACAACCCCACTTGCTCACTCACGTGGCCGAGCCCCCGAGTCTCCGAGCCCCCCATTTTTCATCCCCAGTCATCCCTCAGGTGTGTCTATTTCTAGCCTCTATCTTAGGAAACAAGAGTAAGGAAGGGAAACAGATAACTCGAGAGGCTCATTTGCCAATTGTCAGCGCTCTCTGCCTCTCTGGGGTCCCTGGGAGAATCAGTGTGACCTTTTATTTGCTGGTTGATTTAGTCAGCTCTTGGCTCTGGGTCTCTCTGCCCCCTTTCCACAGCCTCGGCCCCACCATATCCGCCCCTCTCGGTCAGCCCGGGGCTCCTGGGCCTCATCACTCCACAGGATGGACAAGCTCCGCTGGTCGCTCTGAGCATCGCTGCCTGCATGGTCACACCCTCAAACACCTGTGGGGACAGAAAGGGGGAGAAAGAGCAGCTCAGCTCTGCTGGCCTACCCAGAGCTTCCATAAACATGCTCTCCTTAGAGAGGATGATTACTCACCCTCCTCTTCATGCCCCTGTGCCCAGAGGACCTAAGCTGAGAGTCAGAGCCAGCCTGTGACCTGCCCCAGAGTGGCTCCATCAGTCCGTGGCATTGACCAGAAGAGTAGATGCTTCTCCAGCTCCTTGTCCACAATGGTGCCCCTTGAGCTTTACCACATACCTGCCTTGCTCATCCATATTCCTTCCAGCTCTGTCACTGCCGACCAGGTCAGCCTGCCGTGCTGGGCATGAGCCGCCATGGCTGTGTCTCCTCTGCCTTCCTCCCTGGGCCAGCCAACAGGCACTCACCAACTTCCTAGGGTCCCTTTGAGCCAATCAGACTGAGAGCTACAGCTCAAGAGGGGTGGGAGTTGAGGTGGTGACAGAAGTAGTGGTGACCTGGGAACAGAGGAGCTGACAAGTGGGTGCTAACAACAAGACAAGCCACAGAGTTCCCCAGGAGAGCAGGAATGAGCCAGCCAGTCCGCCTGACCAGGGTCTTGATTGGCTACAGGAGTTACTGTATAGACAGTGTGTGTGTGTGCACGCCCACACACAGATAGTGTGCAGATTACACCCAGACTGACTTTTAGGGGAGAAATGACCCAAAGTAGAGTGCAGCTTCCTCACCCCAGGGCCGTCAGGCCATCTGCCGCAGACCCCCACGCCTTCATTGCCCTTCAGAACTGGCAAGTGTTAACCCCCCTCCTACCCCACTCCACAAAAACCTTTAACGTTCAAACTCACTGCCAGACAGTTGCTCCGGTTCATACCGACCCTCCAGCCCAGAGCGGAACCATCTGCGTGTGTTGAAGAGACTGGAACACTCTTTCTAGGCGCAGAGAGCGTCCCCTTTTCCCCTCAGAGCACCCGATGGTTTCAAACTGCTGACCTTGCCCTTGGCAGCCCAGCTTACCACCCCCTACCCCAGCGGGCCGCACAGCTCCCTCAAACTGGGGCAAAGCCAGCTCCCTGCTCTCCACCCTCTCTGCTGGGCCCTTGCTGTCAGCATCAATTTTCCACAGGGAGTGATTTGACCTTCATGTATTCATTAATTCCTTTCCCCACTCTAACTTCGTTAGGTAAGATTTATAAAGGTGCTGAATTGGAAAGGTCACCTGACCCGGAGCTTAGGACACAGTGTGCCAGCGTCTCTGCTGTGTGAGTGTCTTTCCTTCCAGGACTGCTCTGTAAGGACTGAGGGGACAGGAGTAGTGGGACTACCAGCAGACCTGAGACACCACCCTGCCCCCTGCCCGCAGGAGGATAGAGCAAGCAAGTGGGCACCAACCCTCTGAACCGGAGACCTAGCTACCTACTTCTCTGGACCAGCACATTTGGAAACAGAGCTTTGCCTCTTACTCAAAAAAACAAAAAACAAACTCACTGCCATCAAGTCTAACCCACAGGACAAGGTAGACCTGTCTTGGGTTTCTGAGACTACAAATCTTTACAGGAGTAGGGAGCTTCATCCTTCTCCCACAGAGCAGCTGGTGCATTTGAACTTCTAACCTGGTGGTCAGCAGCTCAATTCATAATCTTCATAATCCTCTCTCCCACCAGAACTCCTTGGCCGATTCCTAATCTCATGAAATCCATAATTCTCCCCTTGATGTGAGCTGTCGCTAATGATAGAATCCATGTCATAGGTGGGCAAGGATGAGGCCAGAGGACGTGAAGCTTTGGGCACATGACCCCAGTAGCTTTTCAGGGAGGTCCCCGGTTCTCCCCAGGAACCCTGGTCATGCTGGGCAACTGTCAGAGGGAGTGGTTAGCACGAGAGATGGGTGTGCAGGGAGACGGTGTGGTGTCCCAGGGGAAAATGAAACTCACACGTGCTTTGATCCATGAATCCAGCTCCAGGACCAGGGGAAAAGCGAGGCCCAGGGGCAAGGGAGTAGGAACCCAACCATCACCGCCTGGTGTCAAGACTGCTTTCGGGACGGGACCGGGGAGGCAGCCAGTGGTGGCCTTCTGCTTTGTGCATTGGCCTGGCCACACTCACCTCCCTGCTCCACTCAGGAATTATTCATCAGCGTGGACCTTTCCAAGGCCCGGATGTCTGTTAGGCCCCAGCCTTCAGCCACCTCCAGGAGCTGCCTCCTTAATTAGCAACCTCGTGAGGAGGTAAGGAGGCGATCGTTGACTAAAGATCCACTCAGGAGTATTGAACTTGTAGGAAGACAAGTCTTTCCATACTTTCACCTCTGAGCCACCTTTGTTCCTCATGCCCTCAAGAGAACACGGAATACACCCCAGCTGGTAATTCTGTCCTCGCAACTTCTCTAGTATTTCTGGTAAAGCATGCATATATATTTAGGATTACGGAGATATGGAAGATGAGGCTTTCTACTTCCATCAAGAAGTACAGTCTCAGAAACACACAGGGGCAGTCCTACGCTGTCCTATAGGGTCACGAGAAGTCGGAATGGACTCCATGGTAGTGAGTTCACTGGAAACGCTGTAGGTTTGACATTGGGCTGCTAACTTCAAGGTTGGTGGTTCAAACCCACCAAGTGCTCTGTGGATAAAAGATGGCGCTGTCTTCTGCTCTAAAGCTTGACACTGTTATAAACTCTAAGGAGCAGCTTTACTCTGTCCTTTAGAGTGGCCATGTGTTGAAATCCACTTGATGTTTTGTTTTGTTTGGGGGGGAGGATCACCTGTTAGTTTGCTGAGAATACAGTCAGCAGTAAATTCTGATATAGGGAGAAACTCAGAGAGTTTATTGTCTATTTGTAAACAGGCATAGTTAATGCTGATCTACTTGGTGCCACTTCATGAGACTCTAAGAAATACCAGGAGACAGGATCCAGGGGGAATAGGTGCACCCCATGCCCTCCCAGCCTGACCACATAGCCAGGGCTCCGTTAGGGGGGGGGGGGGGGGGAGTAATTTTAACAGGAAAGCAGGCAGGCAAACCTGTTCTGGATGCCAAGCCAAGAATATTGAGTTTGCATGATCACAGAGGATTACAGGAATTAATTTTATTTTACCTACTATTCTTAAAGTTGGGGCTTCTTGAATTCACCATGCAAATATATGCTCCTAGTACAAATTGGAGCATGCCCAGATTAACTAAGAACATTCCAGCCACCTTTCCTTCTTCCAGAAGCCTATTTTCTTCCCCAGGAGTCACGTGGAAGGACGCTGTAGGCTAGGAATTGATTGGGCTGCAAACTTCAAGGTTGGTGGTTCAAACCCACCAACTGCTTTATGGGAAAAAGACGAGGCTGTCTGCTCATATAAAGGTCGACGCTGTTGGAAACCCTAGGAAGCAGTTCTACTCTGTCCTATAGAGTGGTTCTGTGTTGGATCCCACTCTATGGCAGTGGGTATTTGGTTTTGGGTGGGGTGGGGGGGTCATCTATTTGCAGGAAATACACGAATGAGGAGGAGAACTCTCAGGCTGGGGAAGTCTGGCTAGTGCCTCGAGGTAGATGGATAGATAAAGAGAGCGACAGCGCCACAGGCCTTGTGGGGCAGGGGCTGCAAGACAATAGCACCAGGTGGCCTGCAACTGCTATGCAGGTTCCAGGGCTGACTTTGCCGGCATGCAGATCACTTCCAGTGTAGCGTATTAGTCTGCACTGTCTTCCAAGCTTCCGGATTTAACAAGATTCTTTG